GATTCTTGTTGAAAGGAAGATCATTTGAACCAGGAGGTAAGTTTGCAGATACCAGCTCTGTCTTAGCAGCCCTTGGCTTTATCGTGGAGGCAATTCACCTTATTTCACTGCACACGTGCGAGTTCCCAGTTCTGATTTGTGCGGCATCACTTCAGCAAAGGACACAGATTGCCTGGTCGGTAATGGGCCCGTCTCGAATGGTTTACCTTTTTCTAAGGAAAATTACATTCAAGCTTAACTACAAGACTCAGTTTCAATGCAAGCAGCTCACACATGAACGCTCGCTGCAATTAGTGTGCAAGTCACTTCAAACTTGCCCTTTTCTCTCAGGTAAAGCTGACGAGCTGAACTGATGGAGCACGCACGTGTGCGTGCAGGAACGCCTGCAGAACTTCAAGCCACACGAAATAATTTAATCAGGGCGCTTTTTTTTTTTTTTTTTCCATTTTTCCCCTGAAACAACCCTTTCACTCACAAGATTGTTCAGGAATCCTAAGTCTTGTAAGAGCCAACTGCCCTGGCGTGTGCCTGAGGCACGCTCTGGGAAGGGGAAGCATCAACAGGGGCGCCAGTCAGACAATCCCGCAGGGTAAAAGGACCATCCCATTAATGCACCACCTATGACTTCTGCTCTGGCTTCTGCTCCAGTTCAGGACTGCAACCAAATTCACACCTATATAGACAACACTTGAACGTGTCGGCACGGTAACAAACCAAATCACCCCAGCAAAGTTTCCTCATGAGACACACTTCCGAAAATCATACCTTGCTTTTCATAGCTGAGGAATACGGGCCTAAAAATAACCCAGGTAAGATTTCCTAGGAGGCAGAAGAACAGACATTTAATACCAACTCAAAAGTATTTGAAATAATACATCACATTCAGCTTGGAGTACGGCCATGGAAACAAGTAATTTACACATTAGTGTGAGAGGTGTGGTCAAGTGTCACTTGTAACAGGATTGGGGGGGGAAAAAAAGTCATTTTGGCAAAATAAAAGAAACATGATCTTTGTGCTGGAGATCTTGTTTTGGAACAGGAATCAAGTCCTTTATTTGGACGAAGTTCCAGTTTGATTACTGCATCTTACCCAGCTCCAGATCAAGTGAAGGGAACACTAACTTTGGATATACTCGTGTCTTGTAACTAATTCCAAATTGCTCTTGTGGAGGAAAAAAAAAGCTACACGCACGGTAAGCCTTCTTCTACCTTTGTCCTAGTGGTAGGAAAACATCAATTGTTAACCATTTATCTCCCCGCCAATAAAGACCTGTAGGTCTGTAGATCTTCTCTTGTGCAAAGATTTGGCTGACATCACGGTAGGAAAATTTTAATTGTCCATCCTGCTCAAGAACACTTATTTCCAAGTTTAAAAAAAAAATAAAGCTCCAATATATTTTTAGCAACCTTCTAAAAACATTCACAAAGACAAAACCAGAGTATTTTGGGGATTCTGAAGAAAAGGACAAAATTTTTTTTTTTTTTTTAAGTACTTGCCCAACAGAGATCCAAGCACACCTGCACTCTAAGCTGGCAATCCTCACGCATCTCTCCCACGGTGCTGCCTGACACTTCACCCCTAAAGGCCGATTTCAATACCAGCTCTTTCGTAGGATACTTTCTGTTACTAAACACACCACGGGTTTTGACTCCAATGGTAAATGAAAGGGTGTCATACCTGCATCTCTCGCCTCATGGGATAGGTCCAATCCTTAAAAATGAAATAAAAAAAGTAATTACATATACACACAAAGGGAAAAACACATTCAGGCAGAGATCTGTACGTGCAAGCCATATATAAGAACCAAAAAAGAACCAAAATGTATTTTCTGCAGAGTGTACAAGCTACCTGCTACACGACAGTAGCTTACACTTACTGCTAACTCTCCACATGGACCGCAGCGACACTCAAGGGCAAGGAACACTATTTTGAAAGCTAATGTGAAGAAACCTCAAGTACCCTACATCGGAGACGAAGCCTGTGCAGAACAGCTAGTGTGTTGTGCATCCACACCTCAGCTTTCTGCTTAGAAACTTCCCTCTAGAGTGGGGAGAAAAACAAAAAAATAAAAAGGAAGAAAGCTTTAGAACATTCTGTACTAACCACAGAAGAAAAAAAAATATCCTTTGACTGGTACATTCCTACAGCCACTGAAAAAACGGTGAGAAGATAACAAGTATAGCAGGTAACTCCCTTTAAATCCACACTGACCCACCTAATATAGCCAAACCAACTTCATTTTGAATATTCAGGATTTAGCTTTAACCATTTCGAAGCTTGTGTTCCCCACGAACGGAGCAAGCCATCCAAGTGAACCTCCACTTTGCGCCATCCTGGACAGTCCCTGTGGGAAGGAGCCTTGCACAGTGAATGCACGCGCTCGTGCGCAGCCACAAGGACGTGAATCCCCACGGCAGCTAGCTTACGGCTAGCACATCGCACCCTTCCACAGATCTCAGACCCACCAGTTGGTGACGGTTCACCACTGGGGAACCACCCCTTCCCAGCTGACGATTTACTATCACCCAACTCAATCCATCAGAACTGCCCGGAGCAAATTCCAGGATCAACATTTTCATCCTTTGCTCCGTTTTACAGAACTGCCAAAACTGAAGAGAAAAATGCTCAGCCAGCCTCTATTCCTGTCTTGCCTTCTTTACAACACCCACTGTCCTCTATTAACAGGCTCTTACTCATTCTTTGACCCTCACACACGAAGGAGTTGTATCTGAGATCACAGTTACCAGCTGGAGGGGGGGGGAAAAGAAAAAGGAAACCGTCAAACCTCTCAAATCAAATAGACTGCGCACATTTATTTACATAACTTTGTCGGGTGCTCCACACACACTGACAGCTAAGAAAAACCTTTGCCATATGTCGTTCTTGTTGATGTTCCAATCTCCTCAAAACTATGAGAAAGTTAAGCTCTAAATACTCCACCTCTGAAGCGAGATCAGGATTACACCAAGAAAGATCCAGGGCCTTAAACGGCAGCGTTGTCCACCTGAGCACCTGCAGTTGTACTGGTAGCATCGATGTCACATTAAGCCCCTTCTCACTCAGACACACAAGAAAAATCCAGTGCTCGCCCCAGACGCACACAGTTGGGCACTGAGGTTTTGCTAGCTCTCGGTAGAGGAATTAGAAAGGATTTTAGTACTAGTAAAGTTATTCTGGAAACCACTTGAATTGAATCTGGGACAGAATTTCTGAGAAAGCAAACAAACATGAAGCCACTTAAAATAATTCTTTGAATACTAGCTAAAATGGTAGTACAAGCAGGGCAATGAAATGCACTGAAATGGTCTTTGCTGAAGACACAGAGAGGTAAACTGAGTTACTTCTGTCCCTTCCAGCTCTAATAACAAAACTCCCGGTAGTACAAGATAGAAATCCTGTGACAAAAGGATGATATTTACAGAACTGTATCCTCTGAAGGTTGACCTAAGTGCTTTAGCATAATCCCACTGTCTCACTGCATATACAAAAGCATAATTCATTCACCAAAAAGCAAGAAAACCCCAGTTTTGTCCGAGCACAAAAACAATATTCTGAGAAATAAACTCTGAAAAGCTTAAGCTTCACTCCAGAAGCAGACAAGTCCTTAAGTGGGCTTATTACTCTCTCTATATACTTGTGGAATTTAAAAGTCTCAATCTGGAGCATAATGAAAACACAAATTCATCACTGCTTTGGTCAAGGGGACTTAACAATACATTACAAATGTCCCTTTCAAATGCATTAGAAGCAGGAAATTGTGTTAGTCCCAGCAGCTGCGAGCTGTGCGAAATAAGTAGGCCAGAATTTAGCAATATACCCTCCAAAGGAAACCAAAACCCAAAAGACAACAGATGCCACAGATATTCTGAACAAGAAAAAACCATCGGTATTGGCTCCAGACATTCGTCTTCAGTGCTGAAGCCAGGAAGGCACAGTTTCCAATGGGATTTAGTCTGCAAAATAAATATCTGAAAGATGACATCTCAGATTAAATGTTTTCTTTATACAAGTACACAAACTACTGAAAGAGCGATTCTGGTGATTTCCTGACAAAAAGCTTCAAAGCTTTTAAAAACTAACAGCGCAAGGTTACTCCAGTGTTATGCAAAATTACATAAAAAATTTAATCTATTAATGCAGACTGAACTCAAGCAGAGTTCTCATTTCAAGGAATTCATTCATCAACCACGTTTGCCGCACTGTCTGAAGCACCCAGCAGACAAATAACAACTGGAAGTTTCTCTTTTTATCAGAGTAAATACAGGAATTTTGCTAAGAAAACAACCGATGATGCCAGAGCTGGACAGAGTAAGAGAACTCCTTGCTGCTAAGCGTTTGGTAGGATCTACAGAGCAAGTGACAACTCACTGGAAGACACAATTTCCAATACTCGCCAGACCCAAAAGTAAAGAGAAGGAATGCAAAAAATAACCTCCCCCCGACTCCAAAGTTTTAAAAGAGGAGCCACTCACCTCTGACAGACCTTCCCAAACTAAACTGCAACTCCCTGACGGACAAGTTTACAAGACACCTCAACTGTTTTGCTGAGGGTGTTCCCAGCACGGATGAAGTGCCAGGGACTGGCTAAAGCACTTCAACGACTGTCCCAGAATGGGGTGACTAGCTGGAGAAAAGGGGAAAAAAAAAAAAAAGGCATATTTCAAAGCCCTCCCTTCTCCACCTACAGTCAGCCTCCAGCTAAAAGAAATTGAAGATATGAATGAACAGGCGATACTGGTCTATGCTACAAAGAGTTTCTCGGGAACCCAACATCCAAACTACATCAAGAGTTACTCTGCCAACAGTTATGGTTATTTTGTCAATATTTTGCCATAGCTATACCTGTCCTTCTTTAAAAGGACAGTTTAATGGCAAAAAATCCCTTATATTGACACAGGCAAAGGCACATACACGCGGACTTTTTCCTGAAAGAGTGACCTTGGCCAGGACTTTAATTAAAAAATTCATAATCTGAATTTTATATTAACAGCCCCGACGTTGAGACTCATCTATGTTCAAGGTCTGCACAACAGCAAAGACTGTGCTTTCAAACCCAGCCCCACAACGTACCTTACGCAATCTGCGCGCCCCACCAGCAGGCAGGTAGTGAAATGGATCTATGCGACACCGCTCAACCGGTCCCTAACCAACAGCTTAAGTCTGAAGATCCATCTAATTTTCACATATCAAAGGTCCATCCTGGTCAGCCTTTGCCAAAGCCCAGCTTTGGTTGAGGCGACCCGCAGTACTGCACTTGCATGATTATGGTTAAACTCCTGCTGCCTTATGAGGAGAGCCTGCAAACCACAGACTGCCCGAGATGAAGGAAGAAGCTCTCAAAGGTGCTGAAAAAACACACCAGTAAAATAAATCAAATCAGTAGCTTAAAGAAGGAGAATCTGACATCAAGAAGTATCTCTTCTAGATTTTAGCTGCTGCCCCTTATCCGCTCAGCATCACTGGACATCAGCCCCCATCTGCAGTGACTCCCTGCTTTCAAGACCGTTACTCAAGTCCTTTTGAAGAGCTGCACGTAACCCCCAGTAAAACTTTCCGGACCACTCCAGGTTTCTGACCCTTTTCCAACAGCTCTTCTGTTGTTGATTTAACAGCATCACTTGCCTCTCTGTACAGCTGTCTCTTCCCACCGTAACTCATCACAGCAAAACTGCACGATCGATAGTTCCCGGCGTACCTCAAATCTAGGGCTGTCAGAACCCTCTTGCCTAAACTTGTTTCCACGTCTAGCGGGATGTTCATACCAACTGTAACACTCCAAGTCTCTCCTCCAAACCCGGTACCACGTTCTTCCACAAGTTGTGAAATCAAAGCTGAAGACAACTGTTACGGCAGCGACAGCCACACGTTCTGCTGACCTGCTTCGGTGCCTTCATCTGCTCTGGCCAACCGATCTCTCGGCTATAACTTTGTACCCCTTCTGTGTAGGAAACTGGAGTTACAGCTGAACAGGGTTGTATCAGCACAGTCAGAGGGCACAATGACATTAAATATCAACACTACTACCCCCCCTTAGCAGGCTACAGCTTGGATTGTGGGTGGGTTCTGATCCCTTAACGATTACCTTGACACAAAAGCTTTACGCCTCATTCTGAGGCAGTTTTAAGTCTAACTTACACAATGAAATGAGAGCACATCTTAGTTTTGAAAGTATTCCAATTTTTTGAAAAAAAAAAAAAAACAACCAACCCTCCCAGCTGATACAGTCCAACAGAAGGGGGGAGGGGGGGGTGTTATCACTCAAGACCTGCACAAAAATAAAGCCAGTTACACTAACGGCCTTTGTAAAATGGAACAAACTGTCAAAAGAAATCACGAAATCCTAACGTAGCAATAGAGCATATGCATTTGCCATCTTCTAATAAGAAAACAGACAAATGAAGTACTGAAAACACATTCAAGAAAAATATTTGAATGTTCCTGCAACCTGTCACGTCTATCACTGTGAAACATGCTACTTTAAGGGCCTCAAAATTAGCTACAAACAAGAATGAAATGAAAGGCTGTGTCTCTGGTTTCAGTCACACTTGGACAGTTCTTCCAGTTAGAAGCATTTATTTATATATATATAAAAAACAGAATTATTTCAGTCAGAAGAGACCTACAATGATAATTTATTCTAACTGCCTGACCATTTCAGAGCTAAATATATATATTATTTTTTTCCCCTCAAGTAGAAGTCCTAGTGCAATACAAAAAATGAAACCAAATCTTCCTGTTCACTCAAGATGTGGGCATGCCACCACCAAGAACAGAGCTCCAACAAGGCTAAGGAAGGCTTTGACAGGGCTGCTGACCCAAAGCAGCAGCTGGTTAAAGGGTGAGGTAACCCACCCTCGCACAGTTGTTTAATCCTATGGTCACCACGCTCAGGAAACTATAGTGGCCCAAAACTAACAGCTTTTTTTAGCAAAGCTGGTTGTCTACCAAGTAAGCTCCCTGCTCCAGGTCACCACAGGTCAGATGAGCATGGGGACAAAAAGGGTGACAACGCTGGGCGGTTGGCAGGGAGGGTAAAGCCACTTTTTAGCAAAGCCAGCTATCAGATGGGCTTTGCTGTAGCAGCAAGTCCCCCCTCGGTCACAGATCGCACCTCGGTCAGCCTCCACAACGGCAAACACGAGCTGGGAAGGAATGTTTAACAGTGTGTTCTGGTACTGGGACACTGGGAAGTCCTCAGGCAGACATTCTTGCTTTTGAAAGTACAAAGGAATACAAAAGCAGGAAGGTGGAGAGGAAAAACAATAGCAGGTGGGAATGACAGAGCCCACAGAGGACGGAAGAAGCGTACAACGGGGAAATAAAGGTTATTTTAGCAAAGAGGAACACAAGCCACGGAAAAGGATAAAAGGTAGACAAAGGCAACTAAATGGAAAGTAGAAACATTATACAGATAAGATAGAAATGTTTCTTTATTGTCCAATTCTGTGACATTGGTCCAAAAGACACCTCTACTAGCTCGTTAAATACCAGTTAGCACACAGGATCATCGGCTTTTACTAAAGCAGGATAAAAGCAGTGAAAGCAGAATTCTTCAACTTAGATGAAGCACAGAGCCAAGGGGCAGGACTGCCACACTTTTGGTATTATTTTCTTTTTAAACAGACTTGCACAGAAGCTGAGGCCCATTTGCATTTTTTCTCGTAGTATTGCTCCTGCATTCGCCCCACAGCATTTCTACCCACCGCAACTAAAGGTCTTGACGACTCACTTTTTACGAAGAATCTGCAGAATGAGCACTAACGAACAAGTTTTACTGGTAAAGGAAAAACTCAGGTTCTCAGAATTGTTTATAAGGGTGCAAGTATGTTCTGTCTCATGTCTTTTTTTTTTTTTTAACTACAGCCCAGTGAGCTGGGCTATACTGAGACAGCCAAGGAACATAGAGGTCTCTTTATAATCCTCATTTAGATAAGAAAAGCCAGGCTTGAAGTCCCCAGTTCCAGGAACTGCTCCAGTTGTGAGCCACCTTCACATCTGTGCGGATGCCTCTGCGCTTCAACAGGCTGCCCACGGATGCAAGGCGCGAGTTACTCACGACTGACAAGACTGCTCGACTGCAGCTGCCACAGCGCGCTTCTTTTGAGGTATGCAAACTAGTCTGATAGTATCCCACAGCCGTACGATCCGAATCCGTCACCCGATTTACATTTCCCAGCAATAACACAGCATTTGGTTTGAATTTCTCTTGCTCTGTCACGTGGGCAGGTTAAGATACATACGACAATAGAGGCTTCCTATTTGTTTTAAAGAGTCTGCAGGAGGGGAATGGCTATGTCTAAAGGGGGTTATTGGTGATTCCTATCAAAAGTAAGAGTAAAGAAGTTTAAGAGATTTGTTCCACCTTTCGATGGACTGCACTGCTGCACAGTTAAAAATAAAAGCAGTCAAAAGTACATTAGCATTTCAGACTAAATATAGCTGTCAAGAAATGTAAATTTCTTCCAAAAGAATCATGTGCTAAAGAGAGCTCAGATTTTACGCATAATAAAAAGGCAAACATGACTGTTTACTCAATAAGCTGATAATTCCATTACAAAAACCATGGAGACTTCTAAAAAATCCTAAATACCTCATGAAAACTAGTTTACTTAGCCTGCTTACCAGCAAATATGCTCATGTTTTGACAAAGAAAAGAACTGGTAGTTATTGCTGCGTTCCCATTACATATGTCCTAGCACTGCTCTTTTTTTTTCAAATTTGTTTAAAATTTAATGGGAAAACAATTTCCATTAATTCCTTGAATTACCCCAGTCCTTATTTACCATCTTTTGGACGTGCTAAGATGCCTCAGCACTAACACACCAGCATGCACTAACTGTTATTAACCTGACCCTCTTTTAACAGGTCTTCAGCCATACGTGCTTATACTGGGGGGGAACCAAAACAAAACACAAAGAAAACAAAAAAATGCACTTCTCAAATTTAAGAGAAAGTTTGAGGCCTCATCTTGGAAAATGTGCAAATTTTAGAAAAAGACATACAAATCTAAGCTTGGAAATGGTTTCCACGCCACGTAGGATCGCTATTACTCATGAGAGTTTGACATATTCGCTATCACCAATCTCTAAAAGAACAGGAATGATGAGTCAAGCTACACGTTGAATACCCAAAAATTGAAAGCTGAAAACACTCAGACGGCGTAAGGACCCGTAAAAAGGAGTTCAGCTTTTAACTGCCACAGACTCACCAGGAAAAGAGGGAAGCTTTATCCCAGACCTCGTTAGCTCACCTTGCAGAACCGGACAACTCGCCCAGACCGCAGCCAGCGCAAAAGAGCTGACCAGAAGCAGCACCTCAAGCCAGCACTGACACACGGTTGGACCAAAGCATGGCAGCTGCCAGCCAACATGACCTGTAACAAACACGGCTTCACCACCTGAATGAACGGTAAGTACACACAAACTGCTGGGGAATAAAAAAAGGCAGCACACGTCACTAAGAGCGCTCGGAAGAACCAACTTCAGCACCATCAGTTGCTGAGATGGTAACAGATTAGGAATGCAAAGAAGGCACAACTCCCTCCAGCAGGCAAGCATCAGCAGCATTGCTTCACGTGGCATTTCACAAGCTCCAAGAAGTTTAAAAATCCAGCAATTTCTAATACTACGTATCAAACAGAAACTTTCTCTAGAGAAGTCGATCCAACCGCAGGCTGCTGTCACCTCTCAACAGAAAGCCCTGACCCGCTCTCTGACTTTTTCTTGTGCCAGTTGAAGCTCAGACCAGAGCAGCTCACAGATTTGCCTTTTTTTTTGGTTTTATTATTAAGCTGTCACATGGTTATTGGTGTCAGCCAGGAGAAGGGAGCTGGGGGGCGGCAGTCAGATTGCCTTCAAACGACCACAAAGTTGGACATCAGGAAGTAAACCAGGGATTCCCCCAGTTCTCTCTCCGCCCCTTCCCCCCCCAACATCTTCAAATCAAATCTACCAAGACAGCGTTGAACCATACGTACCCAACTTCCTGAAATACCATGAGAGAGCACTCCCCACTAAAGAACCTTCTCCCTGCGATACACAGGGGATGATTTTCAGCTTTCCATGAATAATGACATTTCGTGGGCAGAATGATTTCGGCTTCCCCGAGTTGCTTTTCCAAAGCATCTTCTTAAGGTTTGGGCTGAAGGCTCTTACTCTTTGCTTAACGAGTTAGCTCCACAGGAACTGTGACATTCTCGCACTGGCTTTAATTCTTCTATTTCCCCCCAAATACTGCAACTATAGTGTAGTTAGATCAAGTCAGGTACAAATGTAAAGCGTTGAAAAACATTAACTTAGTCCTTGGAAGTCTCCACTAAGGTGTTGCAGCAGGTAAAAGTTCTAACGTTCCATACATTATACTATGCTACTAAAAGCAAAAAATAAAATCCTGAGGGACACTATGTTATAATCTCAGTTTTCATCAGCTAAGAGTTGTTAAGACTGGCAGTGACCTCTACTTTTAAATCTATTTGACCACACACTCCTTTTTAGCCATTCTAGTTATAAACCGGTTCGAAAAAGCCACCCAGGCTAATTTAGTTAACCATTTTCAGAAGTAACTGTAGATAATATGATCAGTTTCTCCAGAAAGAAAAGATATTTAAAACCAAACATATTTAAAAACAAACAAAGTAGAAACCTTACAGGGTGGTCTAC